ATTGTACCCCCTCTTTTTTTTTTAATCCAATAGTTCCCTTGCTTGAAACTCAGGCCCCAAAGGCCTAAGACTGAAGTAGGTGGTGAGGTAAAGGAGTTAGAGGTAGACAAGAAACTTTAGGCTTCTCTGAGCTACGCAGGCCTGTCAAGCATATGGCCTTGGTCTTGACAGACATGAGAGGATCCATAACATTCAGGCTTTTCTATAGCTTTTCTGAGTGGTAAATGGAATGTCAGATCTTAAAGACACTCCATCTCTTGACTTTGGGCATTCTCTTTGGCTGTCCTTCAGGGATAGACCAAGCTCCCTCCTCCCTAACAACTGACCTCCCTGGCTTCCTTTAAATCTCAACTAAAAACCCCACCTTTACAGGAAATCTTTCCTAACCCCTCTTAATTCCAGTGATTTCACCTTATTATTTCCTATTTATTTTGTGTATAGCTTGCTTCATGTACATATGTTTGTATGTTGGCTTCCTCATTAGATTATAAACTCCTAGAGGACAAGGACTGTCTTTTACCTCTTTTTGTATTCTCCAGGGCTTAGAATAGTGTCAGGCACATAATAGGAATTTAAAATGCTTATTGATTGATTGGAAGAAGATTTAAGAGAGCACCAATGCTGATACCCCCTCCCCCTTCCCACTCATTCTACAGTTGTGGAAAATGAGTCCAGGAGAGAGAAAGAGATTTGCTCAAAGTCATTCAGGTATCAAAGAACAGACCTGAGATTTGAATCCAGATATTCTAAACCAGTTATTTTACCATTCCTTCCAATCCCGCAAAGCTCTGCTTTCCTAAGGCAGAGGCTGACTAGAGGCCCCTCCCATCCTAAGTCTTTCTCATTCTCACAAAATCATTGCAATTCAGAGAGGGAAGAGTCCTGAGAAATCACCTTCTGCAACTTACTTTTCTACAAATGAGGAAACCAAGGCCCAGAAAGGAGAGGTCACTTGCTATACAGTTCTGACTGTGATACTTTGGGGCTCAAAATCCTTCTGTGACTCTCTATTACCTAAACAATGAAGTACAAACTTCTTACCCTGGCATTCAAAGCCTCCCTCTCCAGACCTATCTCATATGTTTTCATCTGACATACTTCACGTGAAATGGAATGAGGATTGTAATGGTAGAGCTGGAAGAGACCTCCAGGGCTACACCCTCCAGACAGACAAGGAAACTGAGGGCCAGAGAAGTTAAGTGACTTATCCAAGGTCACATAGGTTGTGAGTGTCAATGGTAGGATGTGAACCAAGCCCTCTGACTCCAGATGTTTCCACTATACAAGGCCACCTCCCAATATTATGTTTCTAGGTCTGGTCCTCTTCCCCTCCTACCTCCATATATTTGCCCCAGCATGCCTTTTCTCCTCATGCCAGGCATCTAGGGTCCTTCAAGCCCTAGATCAGGGGGTCTTTCTGCTGTGAAGCCCTCCCTGATCCCTCCAGCTGGATGCAATCTCTTCCTTCTCAAATTCTCTTAACATCAATTTGCTGAGATATCTCCTGGTACCCTCAGCCTTCTCTCATACTTAATCTACATCAGTCCTATCTCCCCAGCAGATTGTCAGCTGTGGTTTCTGCCTTCAGATCCCCAGGGCCAGATGCACAAAGCACCGAAGCCCACAGCAGACCCTTGAGAAATATTTGTAGAATTATAGAATTGCATTTCCCAAGGTTCCATAGCTGGCAAGTGTCAAAGCCAGAGCTGGAACCCCAAATACCCTGACTTCTGATCTAGTTCTCTTTCCATTGCATTACAAAGCTGCTCTGTTTACTTTCAGTATGTCCTGGCAAATAAAAACTATCAACAGGGGTATTCTTGTCCTATGTGCCCAGGCTAAGGGGCAGGATAGAAGCTTAAGGAAACAGTGAGTCCAGAGCACCCTAGATGAGGATATCACTGTTCACAAAATCAATGCGAAATGCTTTCTTCATTATAATTACCTCCCCCTCCCCCTTCACTTCTGCTCAATATTATATATTCAGTTTTTTTTAAATACTGTTCTTTTTGTCTTGGTCCTCCCCCACCCCCCCACCATCTGTTGACACAATCTAGTGTGTGTCTGGGTAAGGTCCAGCTGGCAAATACAGAAGGTGCACAGCATTCAGGTCCCTTGAAATAGCTGATTCAGGGAGGAGATATTCACTCAAAAGGCCTGCCTCTGCCCAGCTGAAAAAAAAAACCTATCATTCCAATCAGAGATAGTGCCAAATGTTATCAATACACAGACATCCCTGGGTCCTCTCCATCCTTCTCACTCCCCTCCCCACCCCCCATCCCAACCCTGGACATGTATGGTGTAATCAGGGGAACAATGGGAGAGGCAGAATCCCAATCACAAAGACAGCAGCTGCAGTCCAGGCCAGCAAAGCTTTGCAGGAGGGGCCCTCAGTGGTCATGTGTAACCCCATCCCGGCTCCTAGCTCTTAGTAATTTATTTATAGATGCAATATCTCTTTATGTGGCCTATTTAAGAATGCCTTTTCATAAATGCATGGAAATGGAAATTATTCCATACCCTACGAAAGATTAATGTATCTGCTCTTTACAGATGTCTGCCATCCCCCACATCCCACAAAAAAAAATTCACATGGACACAAATGAAATAATAGAAAAGGTAAAATTTGTTCATTGTGAAAGCAATTGTTTGAATGTGTGCGTGTGTGTGAAATCTTAACTTCTGTGTTTTTGCCTTTCTCAGTATCCAAGACTATTAGCACAATGCTAAACACATAGTAAATGATTAATAAATGTGTTTTGACTGACTGACATTTAGTAGTAGTTAAATGGCACTTTGTAGTTATAGACATCAGAGGATGGCATAGTGGTAATAGTGGTTGTAGTAATATGGTAGTGATAACAATAACAAAAGCAACAATACATTGATTTAGTGCTTTGTGGCTTGCAAAACAGTTCACAAATCACAATCAGAAACACCAGGCTTGGAGTCAAGAGGAGCCAGGTTTGAATTCCGGCTCAACTGTCAGCTGTGTTGGGGGTCCTGATACCTCTACTAACTAACTCTCGGAGTTTTTGAAAGGGAAAGGGCTTGGTCAATCTTTAAATCCTGTGTAAATGGGAATTGTTACCCTTTATCCTTTCTCTGGGGCCATTTTTGGGAGAGAAAATAAGAATAAGGAGAACTCTATTCAATGAGTTGCAAAAAGAATTATTTTAGCCCCTTCTCTCCAGAGATCTCCACAACTTCCTCTTTCATCCCATGTACCATCAGCACACAGCATCTGTTTAAAGCAGACAGTTTCCTACTAACGAGGTGATAGGTCAAATTTCCCAGCTAAATATGATTTGAAGGGTTTCTGTTGGTCTCTTCCAGATGCTATTGATTCTCTGGAAGCATTGGGTTGGTGACTGGCTTTGCCAAGCCAAGGGCCCCATAAAGAATCAGATCAGACTGAGCTCTAAGACAATAGAAAGCCCTTGGCTCTTTGTTGTTACTCCTGGGTAATTCTAAAGCCTTGTGACTGTGTTATCCCACCATATCTTGGTTCTTCCTTTTGTAAATATTGTCCATGGTCAGTCAGTCAAGATACATTTATTAAGCACTTACTATGTGCCAAAAGGTGTTTTAAATACTGGGGAAACAAAAAAAGGGGAGGGGAAATAGTTTCTGCTCTCAAAGAGCAAACATTTTAATGGTGGAGACAATGTGCAAATAATTAGGTACATCATATAAGTCTATGTCATCTTGTCTAACCTCATTATTTTACAGATGAATAAAAAGGTCCAGAGAAAATCACAGGGTCATGGGACCATTGATCTGGGGCTAAAAGGAAGTTTAGAAGCCCTCTACACTATAATACCCTCTTTATTATAAATGAAGAAACTGAGACCCAAGGAAGTTAAATGACTTGCCCAAGATCACACAGGTAGGAAGTGGCAGAGATAGGATTAGAAGCCAGGTCCTCAGGTGACAGAACCAGTACTCAAACTGAGATCTCAGGGCTTCAGACCTAGTACTTTTCCCAAGCCGCCATACTTATCTTTGTCATCCAGAGACAGTGTGCTGCCAGGCTTTGCTGTCAAGAATCCCTCCTTGGACCCTTATTATCTGCACAAATCATTTCATTCCTCTTTGCCTAGTTTTCCTCATCAGTGAAATGACAGGGCTAGACTCAATGGCCTAAAATGTCTCTTCTAGCTGTGAATCTATGATCCTTTTTCTTTATTTGAAAAATAAGGAAACTGAGTCCCAGAAAAGGAAAGTGTCATATCCACGGTAGGATTGAAACCTAGATCCTCTAAATTTCCTATTCTTTTCACTCTACCAAATTGCCAGACCTGTGTTTCTACTTCATTCAATACCCTCCTCACTTTTAAACTTCATGAGGAAAAGAACTGATCTTAGCTAACCTTTGTATTTATCCCAGGTCCCAACACAGTACTCTGCACTCAGCAAGCCTTAATAATGCTTTTTAAATGTTGAATGAATCATGCTAGCTAATTATATTTGTGCAAATTTAGCACTTTATCAGTTACAAAATACTGTTCTCACAATAGCCCTAAGTGGTAGGTAGCACAAATATAATTAACTCCATTTTACAAATGAGTAAACTGAGCTCAGAGAGATTAAGTAATTTTCCCAAATGAGCCAGTCAAGCCTGGAACTAGGGTCTTCTGACTCTAGGTCCAACACTCTTCCCACTGGGCACAGCCTCCCTTATGACCTTCAGGAACCTTGTTTTTTTTTGTTGTTGTTGTTTTTGGGGTTTTTTGATGAAGTACTTTTTTTTCTTTTTTCCAAACTTCAAATTTTTATTTTTGCCTTTTATTTTGTGCATACTTTCCCCATAATTCAAAAAGTATTGCAAAGATTCTGATCAAAACATGACAAATTAAAGAGCTACCATTCAAAAAGAAAAATAATAAACTTTTTAAAAAGTATGTTTGGGGGAATTTGTAAGCAACCTGAAAATGTGAGTTGGGATGAACATGGTTACCTATAACTGTCACCCTGGAAAAATGATAAACAAATATTACCTTTTATGTTGACTACTCTCTCAAACTAATCTGCTTGGATTTTTGAGCTGGATTGTTGATTAAGAAAGACAGTTTCTTCTCCCGTTCTGAAATAAGTCAACAACAGCCTCTCACTAGCATGGATTTTGAGCTGAAAAGGGACTGTGGCAGTCACCTGATCCAACCTCTTCACTTGATAGATGGCAAACCAAGGCCTAGTGAGAGGAAGCAATTTGTTCAAGGTTATTCATTGAACAGACATCAGAGCCAGCATCTGAAGCCAGGTCTTCTTACTTCAGACCCTTTCCATTACATTGTCTATTTGTTGTAGGCATTTTTACTGAACAGCTTCATTCCAAAGTGGGGCATAGCATTCAGCGTGAGACAGCAGAAGCATTGAAGGCAGAGTGCTTTCGACTTCAGGCTTAAAAGATAATACTGAGGGGAAATGTAGCCTCTTTTCTTGGTGGATTCCACCTATCCCAGGTCTCCCCTATCTCTTTCCCAAGCCATAGGAAAAGTCACATGACTATCACAGGCAGCTGGCCCCCTGCCCTATTATCTGAGCCTGCCTTCAGTCTGGTTCATTACAGCCAATGATTACTCAACACTGTCACCTGCCTCAGCCTGACAGGATCATACCATCTGTGCCACATGGTCAGGGTACAAGGAGGTGTAAGAGGTCACCGAGAAGGGGCAAATGGGCCTGAACGGGAGGTAAATGTATGTTTACAGGCCTGACAGATGACTGGGTCATTAAGGGGGTTAGGTATGTACTCAGAGTTGAAACCACTCTCTTGGGAAAACAAATCCAAGAGGCAATGAAAATACATTGCAGAACTAGTCAGAGCTCCAATTCTGACTCTGGATATAATAGCAACATAACCTCAACACTTGTCAAGCCCTGTCTCCATCATTTACCAGCCATGTGACCTGGGAGAAATCATTTAATATCTATGAGCTTTCATTTCCTACTATAAAATTATGGGTTTAGTTAGGCTATATCCCCTTTATGATCCTTTTTCCACTCTGGTATCCTCTGATCCTGTGATGGGCAAAGGTTCATTATAGACCACATTTATATGGAGCTTTGATATTTACAAAATACTTTCCTCACGACATCCCTATGAATGACATAAATAAGTAGTGAAAAGTATTATTATCCCCATTTTACAGAGGGGAAAAGTGAGACTCAGATGGAAGTGTCATATCTAAGTAGTATTAGAACTAAGACTCCCCACTCAGCTCTTCTGACCCTACTTCTGCTCAACTGGAACACAGGGATGTAATTCACGTTTTAACAGACATCCTATGCCAAGGCCATAATAGTAATAATAATATATTACTAGGGAATATTATCCTGTTGCCAAGTGATCAGAAAGGAATCCCCAAAGTGTTTTCCATTTTCATAATCATTGTGTGATTTTTGCCCCCTTCTTAATCACTTGGCTAGGGCATCTTTATAAACAGAAGGAAACTACACAGGATTGGGGGGGGGGGTCTCACTGTATTTTGGGGTGTCCCCGTGGACCAATATCAGCTACTGAAAGAAATCAGGCAATGCTGAGGACTTAATGTAGTTATTCTCCATCTTCCCTCCCAGTTTGAAGGGAATAAAAATAAAAAAAGAGCTGTGAGAGATGAACCCCAAAAGGTGGAGAGGGTCTAAATTATTCCTGCAGTTGGAATAGAAAGAGTGTGAGTATGTGATAAGTTGATCACTAGTTCAATGACTGGCAGGTCAAATAGAGCACACTCTAAGTGTTGATAGTCAGTGGATCTGTGAACTCACTGAAGTGGCTTCCTCCCTCCTCTGGATGGGGTGCAACCAATACAAGGTCGCCCTGTTGAAAAAGTTGGCAAGGAGAAAGCTTTCAGATTCCCCTCTCTCCTCTCCACTCCTGTCTAGAATTAGATTTTTGGAAAGCTAGTCTCCAATGGCCAACTCCTCTCTAGAAAGTTTTGAGGTTCTACAAAGCCCATCTGTTTAAACCTGACATTGAATAGAAGTATTCTCAGGACAACAGCTAAGTTCATAGCATGATGGGTTTTGAGACCTGAAATAGATCACAGAGGTCATGGGATCAAATCTTTCCTCCTCCTACACCACTCCCACCATTTGTGTAGAGATAAAAACAGAGGCATAGAAAACCTCAGGGTCTTGCCCAGTCACACACTGACATGAATCCAGCTTTGAATCCACCTCTTCCTGCCTCCAAGCCTGGTGCACATCTCCACCACACCGTCTCACAAAGCAAATCTCCTGCTAGAGTTCTAACCCAGACTTTTCTGTCTAAGCCACAGAGCCAACTGAATGCAAGTGAGACTTAGTTCCCTCTTTTATTTCAGTTACCTCTTTTTTTCCCCTCATCTGTAAAATACAATAATCACAGCCACACTACCTGTCCCCTGGGATTGTTTTGTGGAAAGCTCTTTATAGACCCCAATGCACTATAGAAATGAGGTGCTATTAATATAATTAATAATTAATGTAATTATCATTATGAAAATTTAGAAGACCTATATTCAAATCTGGTTGTGTGACTGAGAAGTTTTTTTTAAAATTTATATAGAAAAAAAGAAAGAAAAGAATGTCCGTAAAACATTTTAAAAGTATACAAAAAAGCAGAACAGTTCAGAAGGGGATAAAAAAAAAAGCAGACAGTTTTGTTACTATCTTGCCAAATTTAATCAACCAAAAAATGTGCATAATAAAAGTTCACTCATATACAATTCTACTCTTCATTGAATATTGAAATGTTTGTGTTTGTGTAGTTAAGACAAAACATTAAGATAAAGAAATAAAGAGAATTGGTTTCGGAACCAGATGATGTGGGTTTGATTTGTGGCTTGGACATTTGTTAGCTGTGTGACCTAGGACAAGTGGCTTACCCTCTCTGAGCCTCAGCGTCCTCAGCTGAAGATGACACCAATCCCTCCAGGCTCTGCCTCAGAGGGTAGTTGTGAGAAGAGGGCTACGTTAAACCTAAAAGCACAATGTAAGAGAGTCATTACAATTCCTCAGGGAGACTCAAAGCAACAGGGAGAGAACCGTCTGGGTCTTGCTGATCCATCCTTTATATCTCCTCTGGTGTATAGCCCAGTGCCTTGCACACAGATGCATTTAATAAATGTCTGTTGAGCTGAAGCAGATACTTGGTAATAGTTGATGAGAATCTCCATCCCTAGCGACCATCTTCCTTGCCACTGGACAATGCCAATAAAATGCCTGCCCAAAGATCTTGGGATACCAGCGTCAGAGGCATCATCCCAGAACAAAATTCCAGGGCAAGATGAATTTGAACTCAAATTCCACCTCTCTTTCTCTTTCCTCGGCCACTGTTAGAGTTCAGGCCCTATCACCTCATTTTAGTGTCTTTTTTTTTTAATCGTGTCAAACTCTTCGCGACACCGTTTGGAGTTTTCTTGGCAAAGATGCTGGAGTGGTTTACCATTCCCTTCTCCAGCTCATTTTACAGATGAGGAAACTGAGATAAACAGGGTTAAATGACTGTCACACATCACTATTTGAGGCTACATTTGAACTCAGGACTTCCTGACTCCAGGCCTGGCACTTTATCCACTACATCACCTAGCTGCCCTATCACCTCACATCTGGACTGTTGCTACAGCCTCTTGCCTCCTTCCATATCCTTCTGCAAGTAGCTACTAGAAAAAAACCATCTTCCTAAGAGACCATTTTCATTACCTCAACTCAGAGGTCATATATCTAGAGTCAGAAAGGACCTCAGAGGTAATTTTATAAATGAGGAAACTGAGACACAGAGAGGTTCAGTAACTTGCCCAGGGCCACACAGCTAGTATGTAGTGAAGGTGGGATTTGAATCCAGGTCCTCCTTGCTTCAAGTCCAGCACACCATGTTGACTCAAAATCTTCAGGCTTTGAGATCTTCAGAGATTCCTTGTTATCTATAGGTTAAGGTCTAACTCCTAAGCCTGTTGTAAGACATCACACAGTCGGTTCCTATATTACCCACAGGGCCTGGTATAGCACTATGCTTTTCATGTAGAAGGTTCTCAATAAATTAAGTTCTGAGAGATTGCTTCTTATCATTCAGCATTTTCTGTCTCTTCATTGGAAATCACTGGATTCATCAAGATACCATCTTCCTCCTTCTTTTATCTGATTGACATATCACAGGATTTAGAGTTAGAAGTTCAAATCAAGTCCAAATCCATTAATACTGGAGGGATACCTTTTGACTATGATGAATTTGGGAAAATCTTTATCTACAGAGAAAGACTTGCTATACACTAGAGTTCATACTAGAAAGTAACTTGGCTAAGTAGCACTTTTGGATAGAACCCTGGGCCTGGAGACAGGAAGACCTTAGTTCAAAACTTACCTCAAACTAGCTATGTCACCCTGGGCAAGTCACTCTGACTGTCTCAGTTTCCTCATATGCAAAATGTGTAATAATAGCACCTGTCTCCCATGGTTGTTCTAAGGATAAAATGAGATATTTGTAAAGTACTTTGTAAACTTTAAAGTACTATTATAAATGCTAGCTATCAGTATTGTCTATGTGGAAAAGCCTTCAGCCATCTGTGATCTTCATAGATTATTACTGGTAACAACGTGTGGAGGCTCCAAGGCTCAAATTTAAGCTTGACATAAAGAAGAACTTCCTAATCAAAGCCAGTTGAAAATGTCTTTGGAGGTAGTAGATCTCCGTCAAAGGAGTTCTTCAAGCAGAGGCCGTTTATCAGGAATATGGAAGAGGGAATATTTGTTCAGGGACAGGTTGGACTAGCATGCCACCTCTCAGGTCCCTTCCAGTTGAGAGAGTCTTTGAGAAAACTGAGGAGCAGAGAAGTTGTGACTTTCCAAAGACAGTGACAGCAGGATCAGAATTCAAATTCAAATCCTCTGACTCCATTCAGATCTGGTATTCTTCCTACTTCTCTGCAATGTCTGAAGCATTCTAAAATCTGTTTTCTCCCATTTCATCAGTTTCATAATGATCTATTTCATTTATAAGCCTCATCTCTTTTCTTTTGTTCATATTTCCACTAATGATCTTAGTAGACAAATGCTCAAAAAAGAAAAAAAAAAGACAAGAGAATATCAGGATTTAAAACGGGAGGGAGGGAAGAAGAGAGAAGAA